CACCACAGCATTGGCCCAAGTGAAAATTTCAGTGTGTATGCTGTGCATGTATTGTCTCATTTAAAAATGTAAGTGATGGTTAAGCTTGAGAGTATAAAAGAAATTGAAAGCATGTCATTGTAAAAATGAAAAGAAAAGAAAGGTAGGAGGGAGGAAGGGTATTATGCTCTTAAAACAGCCTATGAAATGTGTTCCCTTTATATAAATAAAAAATAAATTCCGAAATGGTGAAGCTATACAACTACCATTTATGTATCTCCACTAAAGCTGTTTGGAGGAAGAAATTAAAGAAATAAAATAAAAATGTGAGGTATTGGAGCTATCACCTATGATGGTGGCATCTCATATAGGCACCGGATCCTGTCCCAGCTGCTCCACTTCCCATTCAGCTGCAGCTAATGAGCCTGAGGAAGCAGCAGAAAATGGCCCAAGTGTTTGGGACCCTGCCACCCAGGTGAGAGGCCAGGATGAAGCTTTTGGAGTTGCCCTGGCCAACCAGTGGTGGTTGTGGCCATCTGGGGTGAAAACCAGAAGATGGAAGATTCTCTCTCTCTCTCTCTCTCTCCTTCTGTATCTCCCCTCTCGCCATCTCTCTGTAACTGTGGCTTTCAATATAAATAATTCTTAAATAAGGCATAACAACTCAAACTATGTATACACTACAGAAACCATCCTAAATATTTATCAAAGTACAATTTGTGTTAAAGAGAAACTTTTTCCATAGAAAAAATGATAAAAAATTTTGTTTGGGACATCACCTTAAAATGTACATATTAATTACAATTAGTGTAATATCACATTATATGAGGGTACTTCAAAAGGTCATGGAAAATATTATTTAAAGGTGCTTATTTTGATGCAAAGAAACTGGAATCCAAACACAGATTTTTCATATTTATTTTCCATGAGTTTTTAAGAACTCACATATGTATGGATTTCAACTTTTCTTCACCAAAATAAATTTATCTTTTAAATACAATTTCTGCCCAGTGTTTGCAGTCGCCGCATACATAATACAAACATCAGGTGATCACAGCAAATAAGCACGATTCTTCACCCAAGCAGATAGATCAAATGATTTTTCTAACGTGATTTTATAAAAACTCCCATTCTAATTTCTGGTCAGCTTTGGCAGCAAGGCCATACACAGGATGCTTGGGTAACAAATCTTCCGAGTTTTCCAAGGGCTCACTTCCCCTTTGACACTAAGCAGCTCTCCAAAGGAGTATGTATTCATTTTCACCTTGCTATTGGTTTGGAAAGTTACTACACGTCTGTGTTCTCTACAATGCAGCCCCTTCTGAAAAGGATGGTTCCTCTCCTTGTGGGAGCAAGCCCGATGATCTCCCCACGCTGAGAGACAACAGGCCCGCAGAGGAGCAGACTGACCAGGAGCCCAGAGCAGACTCCCTGGGGACTGAGGAAACTCATCAAGATACAGAAGCCCTCTGAGGGAGTGCTGTGCCAGAGCCGAGCCAGGAGGCCGGGGATTGCCCTGCTGCTCAGAATGTGCAGAACCTGCTGCTAGACCGAGGCTCAGACTGAAGTGTGGAGACCATCAGTGCCTCTGAACATGGGCCCCCTAGTCAGTGCGGAGGACTCCTGGCCCGGGCAGGCATGAGAGGAAATTGGCAGGAGGCCATTGATGTGAACACAATTTGGTGGAAGTTTTGTGAAGCTGCTTCACTTCTGTGGACATCCAGATTCAAGAATCATTTTGTTTGGTTCTGTTTTGTTCTGTCTTGTTTGTGATTGTAAAAATGAAAGCTGAATTTAATTAGTCTAAGATTTTTCTTTTTCACAAGATGTTAGCATATTATAGGAGCAGAGTGTAGGGAGAGAATAGAGGGATAGGAGGTTTGGAGGGCCCTGGTTGTTTTTCTACTTTTTTTTTTTTTATTTGACAGATAGAGTTAGACAGAGAGAGAGAGAGAAAGAGAAAGGTCTTCCTTCCGTTGGTTCATTCCGCAACAGGCAGCTATGGCTGGCACTGTTTGGATCTGAAGCCAGGAACCAGGTGCTTCTTCCTGGTCTCCTATGAGGGTGCAGGGCCCAAGCATTTTGGGCCATCCTCTACTGCCTCTCTGGGCCACAGCAGAGAGCTGGGCTGGAAGAGGAGCAACTGGGACTGGAACCTGATGGCCATATTGGATGCCGGCGCAAAAGGTGGAGTATTAAAGAAGTAAGCCATGTTGCTGGCCCCTGTTTTTCTACTTTAAAAATATTCTTTCCGAATTTATTTGGAGAGAGAGCAATAGAATCTCCCGTCAACTGGTTCATTCACCTGGGTAAGATCAAAGGATGGAGCTCTATCCAGGTCTCCCTTGCGGGTGTGGGAATATCATTACTTGAGCTGCAATTTTAAGTCTTTTGGGAAGGGTTTCTAGAAAGATTCTAGAACATGCCCATTAAACCATTTTCTTTGGGGCAGATATCAACTGAGAAGTATTTAACTCAGGATCAGAAAAACACGAGACAAAAGATGGACAGATCAATGAGAGGCTTCACTGGGTCTAAGGATTCAAAATGCAGGTGAGGTAGGGTACCAGGGGCCCAACTTTAAACTGGGTGTGGGAAGGACATGAAATAGAATAACCAAGAAAAACACCAGGTGTTTTCTATGTTTTATTGCAAACAAAAACGTCAATTGTATAAATGAAAATAAAATCACAAGTGCAAAGGCAACCTCAAAAACCATTTTGTTTATTCATGTCAAAGAGTTAACATGAGTGACAAGAATTCTTACAGTGGAAGCATGAGCAGCAGTGTCCTGAGGCTGGAGCTGGCTGGGAGATGCTCTTTGATCTCAGAGGGGGCAGGCGTTTCTGCAGGTGAAAGCACACCCATGGGCAGGGGTTCAGGGATCCAAGGTCAGAGCACCCATTTCTCCCTGTGCAACAGTGTCAGAAGGCCCAGAATGCTCTGCCATTTCCCCACCTTGACATTCTGATGAGCACACGGCCACCACATTACCTGTCACATGACAGTGCCATTTATTTTTTAAAGGTTTATATATTTATTTGAAATTCAGGGTTACACACAGAGAGGAGAGGCAGAGAGAGTGAGAATGAGAGAGAGAGAGAGTGAGAGAAAGAGAAAGGGAGGTCTTGCATATGCTGGTTTTCTCCCCAATTGGATGCCAAATCCAGAGCTGAGTGGATCAGAATCAAAGAGCAAAAGCTTCCTCCATGTTTCTCACGTGGGTGAAGGGGCTCAAGGAAGTGGGTCATCTTCTGCTTTCCCAGGCCTAGCAGCTGGGACTCGAACTTGTGCCCCTATTGGATGTCTGCAATGCAGGCTGAGGCTTTCCACGCTGTGCCACAGAGCCGGCCCCTTCAGTACCCTTTTGACAACCACACACTAAGTTACTCTTTGAAGAGGGCCCAGAGAATTCCATGAGAATAAGCATGAGGCAGCACCAACATAACTTTGTCAGTTTTTGTCTTTCAAGAAACTTTATGCAGCTGTGTTTAGAGAATATACAAATGGGAATCTTAATTCTTTATCTCCTGCCAACTATCATTATTGGGAATTATGTAGAAAGGAGAATACATTCATGAAAAAACATTTCTACCAACAACATATACAATCTATTTAAAACTAACATTCTGTATTTCTATCGACTATGAAACAAATGTACGGTGTTGTCTCGCAATCGTCATAACGTTTTGGCTCTTAGAGATCATTATTCCCATTCCGAGGTGAGCAAACAGAGGTCTCAGTGCCTAGTGTCCCCAAATATTTCCTTATTTAGTGAGGAAATCTACTCAAAATACAGAGGTCATTCAGTTGCAAATCTACCGATTGCTCAAAAATGCTATACAATTATTGCTCCACAAGAATCTACAATTTATAAACTGTCTACCAAATGTTGACAGTATATGCTAACATTGTGTCTTCCTGATCATCCTGACCAAGGACCAAAGGTCTTTGTCACTTGACAGCTTGCAGATGGGCTGAACGTTCTAGGCAGATGCTCAGTGGGGCACCAGTGGCACCTTCTCTTGGAAGTTCCGGACCGAAGAACGGACACAAAGGCTCCAAGGTGGGGAGGAACCTGTGCATGTAGATGAGAGCGTTATTTCCAACATCAAAAAACTTGATCTCTCCCAAAT